GAAACTTTTTAGTTCGATTATTTTCCCTCTCAGTGGCTGAGTTCGCTCTTAACTTGATATCATTTATTTCGAGTTTTTGTCACGGTTGTGGAAAACCCTTTTCGACTATTCGTGTGCCTTTTTGTGGTTTGGAAATCTTGAATTTTGACAGTTGCTTTCAATGGAATGTTAACTACTGAACGTTATACAACCGTGTTATTTAGTACGGAAAAACTAGCTACTTGTTACACAAGCTGGTATGAACTCATTACAACAAACAGTCAAATTAAAAACATCAAAAGTCCCTCAACATACACTTTTGTGTTACATATCTAAGGAACCGTGTCATTAGCATGGTCTATTGGTTCTGCATTAACTCACATAGGTAGTAGTGAACAATTGGTAAAATTAACAAATCAGCTTTTTTTGTAGCAAGGCTGTCTCATTGGGTTTTCGCAGTACTCCTATTGTGTGATGCTCATCTTGCACACCGAATGTGAATCACAAGATCTACGACATAATCTTGCACGAACAGAGTAATGGATTGAATGTGCGACAGAATTTCTGTGCTTAACAATTCTCCTCCTTCTGTTAACGACAACTATTACTGTTGTGTTGTCATGTAGTAAAAAAGACTGTTAATCGAATTCCTTTAATAAATTCTCTCGTTAAGGTCATAGTGAACTTCCTCGGAGTCAAATATATGCTCAAAGTTTTCTTGCAGCATGTCACAAGCTTATTAACATTCAAGGTGGCAAGTATGAGCATATCTCCTCAAACGGCTGCTGCATATCCTATGGACGACCATCTTGTAATGCACACTAACTATACAGTCAACAAAATCAATACACATTTGTTGGTTATCGAATAAAATCAGGCTGATTGTAAGTCACATGAATGAGTTTCGACGCAAAATTCAGTCGCTGTTCTATGCCGTTTGGGTTGGTAATGCACCATAAGCAGATACCAATGGGACACAATTACGTTATTCCTGATAGTCGTATTTCATTTCTATTAACAATCAGGTACGATTTAAAGCTTGTGTTTCCGTTTTAGCTGTGTAAATTGAGTTCTTTTTTTAAAGCAGTAATTTAAGAGGTATCAGTAGCACAACTGTATTAAATGTACGGGTTGCGCTTGCTTGTTCATTTGTATTATTTGAAGTTTCGAAACGATGTTCATCATAGGAATGTCAGTCATTACATAAGTCAACTATAGAATGCCATCCACGGAAACTCTTGTTTCACAGTTACTGCTTGTTCTAAGTTTAGTTACTTCGTTTTGATACTATCTTGTGCCGAAACAGAAGTGTTCGTATGTACTTTTTGGAACGCACTAGTGCGTTCAACATAGTGTATAAGAATTACTTGTTTTGTAAGTGTTGGGCATTGATATATGAACCCTATGTGTCTTACTTGACTCTAAGGTCAACTTGGAAACTGTCAACAGTTTGTATGTTGTAGCAATCAAACTTCTACATTTGTATTAAACACCGTTGGCTTTATACATTCATTCATTCATTCCAGATGCTCCATTGTCAAAAAACACCTTTTTCGGATAATACATGCAGACGACACTGTCTTACCACGCATGTCAACTTATCGGCAATCAGATTGTAAATTAAAGACGGCAATATTTTTAAGATTCGGTATCGGTTTCTACCTCTAATTTTGGATATAGTGTTCGCCATGTTTAATGGCCGCCTGTCCATCGATCTATCATAAGCTCGATCATCTTACTGCCAGTTTCCATCTTCTAGCCTACGACAAAAGTTCTATCCTGATTGCATTTGTACACCTGGTGTAGGGAGGATGAGCGATCGTGCTACATTGCACACACCACTGCTATTAAGTAGTGGGGCCAGAGCATATATTTTGATGTTGAAGTATTCGCATAAAAAATACCAGTAGGAACATCGGAGTGCAGCATCGCATGAAATAGTTTTTGTTACATAAGGGAACGTGAAGGAACTGAGCATTGACGTCTGGGCTGAGTACCGTACGCAGATGAATGTTTTTGTTTGTTGCCATGTTGAAACGCGTAACCTATGTGTTGCTTTCCTGAATAAATAACCCTTGTGCCATTCGCCTTTTTGCCACACAATATTTGCACTTTGCACATTTCAGGGTTTTTACACTGTAGAAGCCTAGCAGCTTAGAAGGAGGTACAATAATGCTACCTGTGTCGAGTCTCTGTCAGCAGTCAGCTGACACACTTCGACCGCATCGTTGTGGGGCGAAACAACTAGCAAATCGACCTGGGAAAATCTCACCCGACCTCCGCTCTGCGCCCTACATACATGCATTCATTAAACCTCAACACGCATCATCACCGGTGTGGCTCGCGACCGTCTCCTTCTCATGTGAGGCTCGCCACACCACGGTCATCACTCATGCGAACACAGGCCACCGTCGACAGTCATACACGTAATGACTCAACGACCTCGGAAGTACGTAACTTCCTCGTTAAACTACCACATTCACCAGTCTATTCAGTGAGTTCGGCAGTTCACGTTATTTCCACCTCGGGTTAGTTTCAATCTCGACTAGCGCAGAAGCACAAGGACGAGAACCCCGTGTTCTTAGGTCTTTTGTGTATGTACGCATAGCATCGAAAGCGCCATGAACAAAACCGCAAGGGGGTGGCTCACACATCGATACCTTCGGTTACATGTTCGAAAGTTGTCTACTGCCACCCTTCTGGGGGGAAGCTTGTGTAGTGACCAGCGATCGTGTGGCTTCTCTAAGGGATTCCGGCTGCACGTGTGTTTACCCGCTCGTCTGTTCTGTACGCATGATTCTGTGTACGCCTGCAATAGGGGGTTTGATATGAACACAGTGCCACTTTCTTCAGTCGTGTAATTAATCGTACGCAGCAAATGCTTGCTCTTTTCCTAATGACTCATTTATTATTCCATTCCATAAGGTCGCTTAAACCGAACCTACTAGAGCGCTGTTTAGGGCACTCGGAGGTTCCACGCACTGTTGAAATGGCGCATTTTTGAGTGCCGCCAAGTGTGCAGCAACTCACCTCGCGCTTCTTTTCTTTCAACACTTGGTTGCTGCCGTTGGTCTTAGACTGGGCTAGAGCCAACTACTTACCATATTTCCAAAAATTGCTGGAAATACACGGTTTGTTTCTAAACCCCACTGTGTTCTTTACTTCGATGCCTGTTGGGACTGCGTTTCGATTGCTCTTCAGGAAAGGTGCTTTAAATTGTTAGTGGACGGGGGTTTAGCGCATACCCACTTGTCCACTACAACCCATCTGTATTTAAAAAGATCCACAAAAAAAAGAAAAAATGCTGGTTCTGGTGTTACGTAAAGTTCTGATAAAGAAACACTGTTGAAAACGCCCCTTGAAACACATCAAATAGTGTAAATCGTAAGAGTTGTTTAATTCCTTCCAAGTATGTTTATGGACAGCATTCGTTTGCCCATAATTTTTATCACGTTTCTAGAAGGTTTCCTTGCAGTTGGTCCTAATTGCCACGACTAAAGTTATGGAGACTTGTGTCAAACTATTCTGGTTGCATTACCACCATGAATACCGGAGATAGGAACTCATCACTTGTAAGTAAGTCTTTAAGTAAACCTCTGAACAACCACTTGCGAAATTCTCCCGGCCTTTTCCTTGGTCTTGCAGGGGGGCGGTTAGTTTTCTTGTAGACCACAATAACTTTTGGTGGATTTTCGTCGTAAATAAAAGGAACTACAATAGCTCAGGAGAGTAACGTGCATACACTCTTGCAAATGCAGAAACCGTTACTTTGTGGGTTAGTGATTAATTGTCTGGGAAGCCGTTCTGACGTTTAACCTTTTGTCGTTAGTCAAATTTCCCTCCAATCCTGGTTCCTTTGCGACTCAAATGCTCTTACACCAAATCACAAGTTAGCATCGTCTGTCAATATTAAGATATGTTGGAGTAAGAGAGCTCAAGTCTCACAATTGACACCAAAAGTCGTTTTAAACCTCAAACGATCTAAACCGCCGTTTCGTAAACGACTGCGTACTTTCGCTGGTTATAATTTTCTCTGCTAGTTTTCTTTGGTCAGTTTACCAGAGATAGACAGCTGCTAACTTCATAAGACATTCATCTGCCTGTAACCGAAATCTTCGTTTCAACCCCCTACGACATATTATATTTTGACATGATACAGAGTTTTAGTCACTTACTCTCAAAATTCTGTCCGATCCTAACTTTTTCCTCTTTTCCGAGCTTTCCCGCTACCTATATAAATCGTCAATTGTGTCATTTTATAAATTTCTTTATACTGGTATCCACGCGTTGGGTTCTCTCTCCACCTTCTACCTATCACGGTCTATTACTAATCTTGACAAATTACAAAAGAATCAACTGTAGAATTGAATTGACTAAATTTATCTATTTTGTTTTCTGAAGGTGTGGTTGTATAACTGCTGATGGTACATGAAATAGTTCCCTGACTTGACTTGAAGTTTTAAACAACAAAGTAACTGTTTACTGCTTGCAATACATTGTCCACTTATTTACATGTTACCGAACGTACTATCCACATCGGTTGCGTTGTTTTCACGTAAATCCACCTTCGATCCTGCCGCTGTTCACTGGTCTCCTACGTTATGTGTTTGCTAGCTGATCGGTGTTTTTACACATAAAGTAGTTCTTTAAAAAGACTCTTAGCGATCCATACAATTATAGTCAAGCCTGTAGGTTCAGCGTGTATCATTCGATCGTATGAAGTGTAAATTTCCTTTTACACCTTTGTGTTGTCACTAAGACAGGTAGCCACAGTTCCTGTGGACTGACAGGCAGATGGCCAACCTTGCCCGGGTGGAAGAGTAGTTTGAACGGCTGCTGTTTATGACAAGCTGTTACATCAATCCTATATGTAAACTACCTCTTTCCGTCCTGTCATAGTGACCTACTAACAAGTAAACTACACCTTCGTATGCAACCGAGCTAACTATTCGTTCACTTGACTTAATATAAAACCATTGTTTATTAACTCAGTCTACGAAAGACCTATCTGTAAAAAATCGGAGCTTCGACTGGATTCGAACCAGCACCAGAAGCAACCAGCCTAAACGCAGCAAGCGCTCTGTCATATGAGCTACGAAGCCACTCCAGGAGCTCGGGATTTTTATATTTAGACTATATTTAGACTATTTTCGTCACAGGTCTCACTATCTCACATGTACTTGACGAAATGTTCCAGAGTTTTGACTGCCCCGACAGGATTTCTCAAGCAGTTTGCTCGTACCGTTTGATTGTCCAGTTTGATTCTTTTTCTTCTAGTTTGAATGAAAAGGACGGTTGCCACAATCAGGACAGACTGGTTGTCTGAAGAATCAAGCGTCACGCCATAAAACAGTCCTCGATGAAAACCAGTTCAGAATTTTATGTTCGAGATGCATCCTCGTGAACATTATTATGAGATTGGTTACATGTCTCAGTTGACCAATTTTACAGTAAGCTTAGCTCAAGTGCTTTTGCTTCAAAGACCCTTCATCCCACAGCATATTATTCCGATGAACATCTATCGATGGACCCTCAGTCCCCTCATTCAATCTAATCACCACGTGATCAATAAAAGTAAGAAATAACCAGAACGATGCGTTTTGCATTTTTTCCTCAGAGTGGCCTCTGTTAACAACAACTGTTATGAATAATTAAACACTCAGTTGATTTGGCTTGTCTAAAATCTTATAAGTTAGTATCGATCAGCAATGACTCGAGCAATTCGCGCACAAAGGAAGAAAAGAGGAAGTGGCTGATCAATATGATTATTCAATAATTGTCAATCGATTAACTAGTACTCACCAGTTTGTGTAAGTTCCACGTTCTCCTGTTTAACGGAGCCTGAGCATAACTCATGCTTGATCGACTATGCGTCGGTTTCTTTAACTGGAATACACAGTACGATTGATGAAATCTTACCAATACTGGCTAGTTATCAAACACCATCATCACCGAGTAACCGTTCGAACGCACTACGACGTGTGAAAGTGTACATGAATTCAGAAGACGAAATCAAGAACAACCATCCTGAAAATTCTTTGAAAAAAGAAGATATTGGAGATGAAAAGATCAACCAAACGGTTAATAGCAATCCAGTGAAGATATTTATTCGGGGGTTGTATCAAAAACTATGGATTCGTGTTTCTTACTTAACACTTGTCCTGCTTATCACTATCATCAACCTTACATTGAGTTGGATAGTTTTTCACGACATTTTAATTCAACAGCCTGGGTTGGTTTACGATCGTTCGTCAAAAGAAATCATCACTGCTTTGTTGGCACTTAATATTCTTGAGTTATTATTTTTCTGTTTGGATACAATTCTATGGCTCAACATCTTCTCAAATGATCCTGAAGCGTGGTTTTGTATGGATGTCGCCAACTGTTTGAATATTTTTCTTTCCGAGCTACCGCTTGGTGTACTTAACGCTTATGTTAGTGCTTGCCACGAATCAAGTCTATCAACCAGCATGCTCGTGAAAGCCTCCATTATTTTGTGCTACATGGTGGTTCGTTTTCTGACATTTACCACAGTCTACTTACTGGAAACTACGGAAGACAGTTATGTGAATATCGACAAGTTTATTGGTTCACCAAAGAAAACTGATCAGCTACAAGAAGAAAAACAAGGCATATTACTTTCACTCAATCGTAAGGGAATTGGTGCTCGTTGTGTAGACATCGTACGTGCAAAAAATCTACGCCGGTTTTGGCTTGTGATCCGAATATTTATCATAGCTGGTTTCTTCCTGATGCTGGTCACTAATATCCTCATATTCAAATTCACGTTTGTTCAGACCTACCGTGGGTTTTTGGAATGGCGACGTGTCGTACCTTCTAGCGCTGGGTCGTTGGAAGACATGATGGCTGAGCGCTATTTTCATGACGTGGAAATCTTTATGAAAGAAACGGAATTGACATCCAAGAAATGGTTGCATCTGGTGAGCTTAGAAAAACTTATGCAGTTACAGACTAAAGGAATCACTGAACAAATCGGACTGAGCTACATTCGAACACAATCAGGTGAATATTGCATCTTCTCACAGCTACTCACATACAACAACAGAACCACAGAAACTGCAATGACTTGCTGGAGTGTTCTAGAAATGGATTCTTTTAAAGAGACAGCATGTGAAGATGTGTTTGCTGGAAATGAAGGGACATCTGGGCTAGTAAGGTTGAAAAGTATGAAAATTTCTTTTATCTACGATCCGCCATCGCCTGGACGCCATTTGGGTGTCGTGTATTACAATGCTACGAGAACAAACATAAAGTGAGTAGAAATTGATACAGTACAATCTGATTTAGTCGCGTACAGGAAATTTTCTTACAATCTGACCTTATAAATCGATCGGTTCGTTAGAAAAAGACAAAAACTAATTGCAGTAGCAAGTATGATAGCTAAAAGTTTCGTTTCATTAGTATACATTTGAATGCATTTGTTATTTCAATAAACCATTATGGAACTGTATAGTTCATTTATTCAATGGAGTGCATTTGTATATTTGTATATTCAACGCCTTTGAAGAAAACAAGTTAAAACGTGTTGGTTATTTTTCATCAGGTGCAGCGTTCATTTGACTGTAATATTGCGATTAGGATATATGCTGTTTGAATACTGGGTTGTACGCTGCACAACGTTTATTCTCACTTAAGCTGGATATTACTGATCTTAAGCATGAACAGTCAAGGTATTCAGAACTCAAACTGGCATCCGTATACTTCATATATGGATTTGGTGCTACAGAACTAGCGTAGACCGATTCTTGGTTCGATTTTTGAAATACAACCAGTTGGCCTTCACTCACCTTCTAAGGTGAACGTGTTGGATTCTGTCCTACCAACAGTCCCAAAGAACTCACCAGACTGTGACATCTAGGCACGTCTTTTGATGCATCGTACAACCCGAAATCAAATGAATCCGATGAACAACTATAATCATTACGTTCTGTTGGACAAGCATACAAGAAAGTTGATAAATAATAAGGTTGAAGACATACATAAATTCCGTTTTGTAGACACTGAATTTACAGGTGTAATCTATGAAGTTATCATGATCACCGAGAATTTCTATTTTATCGTCCACATCTGCATAATTATCAGCAATAGTAACACAGTAACTCTGTCTGTCCTCTACGACAGATCTCCAGTTTTGAAGTGATTGCCTCATAATTTTGAAAGAGCAAGGGTGCACATAAGCTCTATCTTGCAACTTATCGAGTTCAGTTCAGTATACTCCTATACCTAGATGTGCCATTCAAACTACCTCCAACATCTCGTACCTGCTCTGCACAAACATAGATATGACAATACAGAATGTGAAGGATCGTCGAGATTGGATTATTGGAGAAAAACGGCCACCTTAAATAATATACGATTTAGGATCCCGGTCAGAAAACAAGCTGACACAGGCGAAATCACGTTTGAGACAGCAGGACAACGGGTTATAATAAGGTGTACCATATCACTGTTTACACAAGTCCAGAAAAAGTATTTCCTGGAGTTGTGAGATTGCTGTTACCGTTCTTACTATGGGTACAGAAAGGAAGGTATATAGCATTACGGATTTGAGCGTGACACGTATCTGTTGTCCAGCTGGGGCACCGAATAGAGTGATGTTGAAGTTTTAAATTCTCCAACTGAAGTTAGGGCCTTTCCGGGTCAGTGAGACGGAATGTGGCCCACAGCGATTCCCTAAAGAGCTTCTGAAAGAAAAAATTAAACCAATTCAGAATGCTAAACCGAAAATTTGTTGCAGCATATCTCTTGTCTTTAAAATATTTACTTCCGTAGTAGTAAATGGTCTTAGCTTCATTTAGGGTCAAATAGGGCCAATTAGAACTGGTTAGGGCCAATGAGACCGAGCGTGTTCCATAGGGGTTGGATAAAGTGCTTACTAACGAAGTAATTACTTCTTTTGAAAAAGAGTTCAAGTCGCTTTTGAATGTTGATTTGAAAACTCGTTGCAGTTTATTTCTTGTCTATAAGCTGGAATTAAAGTGTGGCAGGTATGGTGGGACATTCAATGTGCATAACCTTGGCTAATAGTGTTCAGTTAGTAGACAAATGTGAACCAATGTGGACATAGTATTATGAAAAGGGTATACGGCATGCACGGCAATTTTCCTTTGACCCTTGTGGGCCGTGTGCGGGCATGCTACTAGGGTAGGGCCATGTGATGCTAGAGGAGTGCGTTATGTCTATTTTCTCCCGTCCACTTCGATCAGTACTGACACGTATCAATATATTATCCTAAGTCTTTACCATCTAACCACACCCCGTATGATGTAAATGTTTGTGTTGACCCAAACTTGACGGCCTTCACATCCTGGATACATCGTTTTTCAGGAAGACGGAGCACCTTATCCTGGACTACGTTTTTGGTGGTGGAACAAGTTGTCTTCCTCACGTGTAAAATGGTCAAATGAGACAGGAGGACAGCAAGTGAAACGAAACGGTTCAGTAACGTGGTAACAAAACTAAGAGGTGCCAAGCAACGTTTATCGTTTTGGCAGCATAGCTATGCAGCTTCATGTCAGAGTCTACAAACGGCACGGTAACCATAGCAGGATATGCCTCAAATTCTGTAGAAAAATTGCCAGGTTTTAATCAGTCCTTTAGTAAGTTGTAACGGTGCTTTATTGTCTATCTACGGTTTGGTGAGAAAATTATCGTGATGGCACAGTCCGCTAGGGAAATATCGTATCTAAGACTATTTGTACCCAACGGTACACGCCGGTTCCTAGACCAGCGTAGCCTTTCAATCGCTGAAACGGTTACAGATGCATCTGAATAGTCAGGTGTTATCGATTGCGAACCGTGGCAGCCAAGACGCTGGGACGGTGGGTCCGAGCGACTTGACTTAGAAATGTGCGTACACTCCGGCTCATCCGGCTGTGGTTTTAACAGTATGTTGTGCCCGTTCGCTCGACCGATTCGGTTAGGAGGCTTGTCCGTTGGGTAAGCCCTGTGGTATGGACTTCAGATTTTGAGGTCAGGATCAGGGTTCCGGGATTATTGGACGGTAGTTGATCGATCTTTCAGCCATGGACTGTTTACAGCACTTCCAGTGCTGTGCTTGTGGAAAACCTCACCCATCTAT